CAGACCAGGGGAACGCTACGTGGTTTACAATTAAGAAGAGAGTGTGGCAGGGTTATATTCTGTCTCCATACCTATTCAGTTTGCATGCTGATTAACTTATTCAAGAAGCTGGACTCTGTGAAGAGGAGTGTGCCATCAGGATCAGAGGAAGACTCATCAATAACCTGCATTATGCAGATGACACATTGCTTGCTGAAAGTGAGGAAGCTTGAAGCAGAAGATCAAAGAATTCAGCCTTCAGTACAGATTGCATCTCAATGCCAAGAAAACAAAGATTCTCACCGCTGGACTGATAGGCAACATCATGGTGGATGGAGAAGAGATTGAAACTGTAAACAACTTCATCTTACTTGAATCCACAATTAACGTCCGTGGTCCCAGCAATCAGGAAATCAGGAGATGCATTACACTGGGAAAGTCTGCAGTTAGGGACCTTTCCAAATTATTGAGGAGTAGTGATATCAATTTTAGGATTAAGATGCATCTGATTCAAGCAATGGTCTTTCCAGTTACTTGCTATGCATCTCAAGGCTGGACAATGAATAAGGATGACAGAAGAAGAATTGGTGCCTTTGAGCTGTGGTGTTGGAGAAGGGCACTGAATATTCCATGGATGGCCAAAAGAACAAATAAATAGGTCTTGGGGAGGGTACAGCCAGAGTGCTCTTTGGAGGCAAGAATGATGAGGCTTCACCTCACATACCTTGGGCATGTTGCAAGGAGGTGCTGACTTGGAGAAAGACATGATGTTTGAAAGGGTGGCAGATCAGTGAAGGAGAGGAAGACTTTCAACCAGATTATAGATTGACATGGTGGTTGCCCCAGTGGGCTCTAGTGTATCAGGGAGGGTAAAGATGGCACAGGATAGAACAGGGTTCAAATCTGTTGTGCATAGGGTCACTATGAGTTGTACTCAACTTGTTGGCTCTTAACAACAACAACCTAGTATCAAACTAGCACTTACTCTTAAGGAAAAAAAATCATTCTGATTTTAGTATAAGGTAGCAGTTGCAATCTACTAAAATAAGATAACTTTTGCAAGTGTTAAGGGAACACAACCGCTCAAGGATATTTTACTTTGTGAATATTTTTAACACGTTGCTGTTTGTGTTTCTTTAGTAAAGATTGTAACTCCGTCTCACATACTTTGGGCATGTAGCCAGGAAGGACCAGTCTTTGGAGCAGGCTAGCTAAGGAGAGAAAGACCCTGGATGAGATGAATTGACACAATAACTGGTGTAATGAGGGTAGGTGTGTCAGAGAGAGAGAAATTAGCTCAGAATAGAGCAGGGTTCAGCTTTATTGTGCATAAGGTCTCTATGAATCATAGTCGACTAGACAGCACCTAACGACAACAAAATCAGTGTACATGATCAAATGGAAACTTCTCTTTTTCAAACATGTACTCTTATTTTTGTTTTTTCTAAGTATAATATGACTATAGAATATTTTAGTAAAAACTTTCCAGGATTTTGTTTTATATAAATAAGTTGAAAAGGAAGCTCTCTCTCATAGCTTTCAAATAGAACTTACTGATAGCTGAGCCTCTAGCTGATTTTCTGAGTTTATAAACCACATGCAATGTTGTTGTTGTTGCTGTTCAATGCTGACAAGTATGGTTCATATCAACTCTACGAAAAACAGATTGAAACTTCTCCTATCCTGTGCCATCTTTACACTTCCTGACACACTAGTGCCCACAGCAGCAGTCACTGTGTCAATCTACCCCTCTATGAAGAGAAGTGTGGCATCAAGATTGGAGGAAAACTCAACAGCAACTTGTGTTATGCAGGTAACACAACCTTGCTTGCCAAAACTGAGGAGGTCATGAGGAATTTGATGCAAAAGGTCAAGGACTGCAATCTTCAGTATGGATCAAAGCTCAACATCAAGAAACCAAAAACTACTGGGCCAATTGACAGCACCATGATAGACGGTAAAGAGACTGAGGTTGTTTGCAGCTTCAGTTTTCTTGGCTCCAAAACGAACACTCTTGATACTAGCATCCAGGAAATTAAAAGATGAATTACTTTGGGAAAGTCTGTTGTCAGGGACCTCTCCAGAGTACTGAAGACCAACTATGCCAGTCTAGAAACTCAGATGTGCCTGATCCAGTGCATGTGATTGTTGTTGTTATGTGCCGTCGAGTCGCTTGCGACTCATAGCGACCGTACGTACAACAGCCCTAAGATCTGCTCTGTCCTGTGCCAATCACACTGTCTCTGACACTCCCATCCCAATTATCCCAGTCACTGAA